AAACGTATAATAGATTATGATGTAATTGTATAAAGTATATTCTATGTTCATAAACAATGTATAGACTATTGTTTATCTATTTACAGTTAACTATTAAAATAATTCGTCAGAAATGATTATCAATTGAAATGGAAACAAAAAAGAAAGTACATTGTACTTATAAGCAATGATTGATAGGGGTTAGCGGTGGAATCCTGTTTAACACGCCGTTCGTCCTATCTGGGACTCGTCAGCTAGATGTACTTGGAAATCAGAGTTCATGTTCATTCTTGGACTTGAACCCAGTACCTTTCAGCTTTAAACGTCATCACGTTATCCACTTAGCTACTAAGTCCTGATAGCTACATAAATCAAAGAAACAAATATAAATAAAGTATAATCGAATAATGAATAGATTTTTTCCAGAAATATTACTTATTCAAGATCAGTTTTATAAGGTGATTTAATTCGTTAGTTAATTTGAAATTTCCAGTTCATGAAATCAGTCAACTGATGTCATTCACAAAGATAATCGCACCGGATCACGTACATGCTCTACAATCAACTACATTTTTGCGTAAGTTTCACTTCATGTTTAAATAGTTCAAATCATGAGTCAATTGAAGCTTGACCACCATGGAAAACGTGGACTCCTCAGCAGTGCACATCCACGATACCGCCTCGCGAGATTCGAACCCAGTGCTTAACCACGGAACCGGTGATGTTAATTTCCACGAAATTGAGCAACATATCCACCATTGTCATCAGTAAGTTACTATCTCATAACAGACGCAGTTGAACTCCACTAGTCACTGCTTCTCACTAGAACTACCGCTTGAAGCTAGTCACTAGTGAGTATATGTTGTTTAGTATCAGAAGGGGTTTTGTGGAGATTGTAGTAATTTCCATAGTTGAGATCATAAAGTGTAAGTTTGCTGACTTCTAATATAAATGTCATAGTGATATTCGAATAAATGCAACAAAATGAACTGCATTTGCACCATCACCTCTGATATCGATCGATAGTTAGTAATTTATTATGAACTAGATATAGTAAAACACTCACCGTCTCCACTTAAAATATTTCAAATGATTAATGATATCACGTTAAAGGTCCGCAGTTCGATGAAAATGATGATTAGATCTGTATTCATTTAATCGATTAGTTACTACTTCAGAATTTTAAACTGCATAAACACACTTAATCGAGTTCAAAGATACAAATTGATCCATGCTCAATTCAGTAATTCCCAATTATATGATCATCTGAGAACCTGTCATTGTATAACGCTCATCTTTATAATTATTAGTCACCATGATGAAACCAGTGTAATTATAATGAATAAATGATTTTACGTCTTCCAGATATAACAAACAGCATGACATTGTCACATCAACTGAATGCACAATGAAGAGTAAATTCCAATGTTCCGAACATTACTTAATCACATCGATCATCCAATGTCTCTTTCCTTCTTATTTGAAGAGATGATAGTATCATGGAAGGGGTTTAGTTTTGAAACTAGTAAAGATATGTTAGAATGTAAAACTTGTTTATTTCGTGAAACTTGATATACAATACGAAATAGTGATGTCACCTTAAAGACAGCTTGAATTTTCGGATACTTTATTGATTGGACTTATGTTTTGATCTATTCTATTTGATTCTCTACACTTAGTGTAATCGCAGCGATTCCCTTCATACTAATAACTTTGATTTTCAATTACATTTGTAAATAATCGAAATTCCAGTTGTGCTTTCTTTAATAGGCTATCGACACCACTCCGTGGTTAGCACCATAATTTGAACTTGACTGGACAAGCATTCAGGACTGAAACCTCGAAGCAATTATTTGACTGTTGTCGTAAATAACAAATAGACCACATATATCACCGTCCAGAAAATAAAGACTTTTACAATGGAACTATCAAATTCAAGGTGCAGGTTTGCATTGCGAAACGAACATCTATATACGAGAATAGGTCTCTTGGAAAACAGAAATTAGTTTTCAACGTTATTCAATAAAACATCCAAGGTCAGAATTCAATACGATCCACTTCTCATCCTTAATGGTTGTGTGAAATGCTATTTTCATTTCAGTTTTAGTTAACTTTCACATCATCACCGTTATTTTCTTACTTTGACTCATTCATCCTAGTAAAACAGCATCTTATTCACTGATCCCATACTATCAATAAAAAAGTTATGCTTTTGATTAAGATCATGAACCGATTGATTTTAGACCACCATTGAAAACCTGGAAGCACTGGACAGCTTTTTCGTCCTACTGTGATGCTTCTCAGCAGTACGCATCCATGAATAATAGATATGTGGATAGATAGATGTGTGTATCGACTGGTAGTGCAAATGACTGAAATGATACTTCCATTCGTCAATGCGTACTCTGTGAAAATTGTAACAAAATTCCCACCACTACTTGCTAATTTGATGAGTTTGTAGGATATCATATCGATGATAATGTGAACCACCATTTTACTAAGACAAATTCAATTATGTGTAAATGAAACAAGGTGTAATTTTATTTTGGCTTATTTGTGTTGTATGACCGTTGTAAAATAACAAACTATGTTGTCCAATATGTTATATTCGATTAAGACACGACTATTAACGAAGATTTTATGGCTTTGTGACACACATAATGAGTAACTAACTTTTTCTTTCCACTTTGTACTAACGTGTATTTTGTCAGTTACTTGTGAGGGTTGAGGGCTCATTTCGAGTGAAGGTTTAACTGAAACTAACTAGCAAACTTTCTGTTTACTTCTCACTTCAAATCATTTTCCGTTTTTGAATACTTATGATCTCTGGAAGAATTCTAGATTCGTTTGTTTGCTGCTTCAAAGAATAATTTGAAGCACGAACTAAGATTTATAATAAAATTTCAGAGGATATTTATTCAACTAAGGAGACAAAGCGCTTTAGACTGGATGATCTACTTAGTGATGGAAATCACGTTAAGCAACGCCATCTGTGGTAAAACATCGAACATTCGTACCTTTGGTTAGAAGCACTGCACGCTTTACATTCTCGCTCTCGACTCGCTTACTGAGAGTCGTCTTATGAGAACACACGTTAGTTATTTGTTGACCGTTTAAACAATAAATATATTTACTGACTTCTAACTCGTATTTCAACTGGACCAGGAGGTTAGCTCTCATTGTTTATGTTTACCATGAGTCGTTCAATATCTAGACATCTTGGAGAGATGTGATAACATCCTGAAAATTTGGCAATGTTATTTTGAGTAATTTGTGTGAAGTTACATAAACTTATATTCACTAGAAATTTCTGAGCATTATTCAACTTGATAAGTTTGATCTTAACTATAAAATGGAACAGGTTCAAACCTTTATGAAATCACATGTGAAATTATAAGCATTTCAGTGATTTACCGCTGTGTATAGTCTTTGATGTGGTACTTATATCATATTTTTTGATAGTATAAGCATCGTTGTATTGTAATTTTTATTGAGGACTCATCTAGGCTGACTCATGATCTGGAAATTAAGCGTTCACGCGCAAGACCGAAGTCTCAGTGGTCCACTTTCGAATGTGGGTCGTGGATGCACATATTTGAGAAGTCCCATATTAGAGAGAACCTACAGTTTGGTGCCACCAGGTTCTTAAAGGAGGTCTAGCTTAGAACGGTTCGTAATTTAAACTGACGATCTGACAAATTTTATCAAGGGTTCGTTGATTGTGTAGAAAATATATTTACATTTTGGAAAAATTGAACTGTATTCGTACTTCAGATAAAATTTTACATCAGATGTGATGCAACATCTAATTGGTTGCGGCGAGTCTGATAGTTCAGTTGTGAAAAGTGAAGGGTAGTACAGATACGCCTGAAATAATATTCTATGGACGTTCTACGATTTACATCCAGCGTTACACTTCACAGCGCAAAACCGAATCACAATTTCTTAATAAGGAAATGGCAATCAAACTTTATGGTAATTTCAGATTTTTTTCTAGTAAGTTTTGAAGGATTGATCATGCAGCAAGCTTCTGTAGCTGGTCCTCTATTAGCAAAATGATAAACTTAATTATACTTCTTGTAACATCAGTTGAGAGAATCGTCAGCCTTGACTTCATAAATGGAGAATAAGTCCTTTAGAAAAACGTTCTCATCGAATATGCATAATCAGCGAGATTTGTTGACAACAATAAGAAGCACAATCTTCGAAAACAATCAGTTACCTATCATATGCTCGCTCTTTCATTGAGCTGCACTTGTACACATATTTTGTAATTTGTAAGCCATTCGTTGAACTAAAATTGTGGTTGTCGTCCAGTTAACCCATGTTAGTCAGCAATCTAAAGAAAAACTATTCGCATCTTACTATTTGCATGGATATTTATAAATTCATCTCCTCATACGGAGACTGATAGAAAGAGCTCAGGTTCATTGTTCATCTTACTTGGTCACATACACTAATCAGTAATGACTGTACGAGCACGTGGTGAGTAAGAGTATGTATTATGAGCCATATTAACAGATGCAGACTACTTGATTGCGTCCCACGTGACTATCGTAACCAATGGTTGGAGACTCACAACGGTGTAGGTGTACACTTATATGCAATCTTTCTTTTATATATTACCACCATTGAATCTGGTGTACAGCATGTTGTGCTAATAAGGTATGGCAACTTGAAACAGTGCATATATATGCTTGATCCTACATTGTACCTGACTAACTGATTAATTTATTATGAAATGAAGAACTTTCACAATATGGAAAAAACATTTCATTGTTTCACCTGAATAGATCCTAACAAACGATTGACTAAAATGAATAGAAAGTATGAAATTCATTAAGTGAATCGTTTATTCTAATTATATTGTCATACAATAACTCATCGTGGAGCCCATCTGACGCTACTTCTGGTCCCAAGCCCGGATAAAATAGGGTGGTTTGGGCATCGGGTTAGAGAAGTCATCTCGTAGAAAACTAACTCGCTCAAAAACGCTCACCAGGAAAAAATAATTCAAATAGCAACAATGAACAACAACCATTGTATTACTTGTATAAAACTTCATTTCAACTATTCAGTTAAATGTTAATGAATACATCGTTTGTATAATGGCAATGATAATTTACTCAAGTCATATCCAACTTGGGGGGTGGGGGAAGTTATTTTCTAACAATTTCAATGTCAACAATTACGCGTTTATTCTGTTCATTAGTTGGCATGTATATAGACAGGATATTTGCCTTCATTTCAGTAATTAAATAATTTGGTTTTATATTCATAGCAAATCCATTTGGATAATGTACAGATAATGGTATGTATATTTCTGCAATTAAACATTGTTTCTCATTAGTTTGATTACATAACCGATTTGTAATGAAAGAGAAACGAAATTTTCCAGTTTTATGATTAAATTGTTGTTTACGAAATATTCCATTTGTTGATTGAGGATAAGGACGAATGAAAGATTCCACCTGTAGATATGAGAGAAAGATGAATAATAATGAGAAATAATACACTGAATCATACTCAATACGAGTCATGTAAACTATTCGTGTATGTATAAATCCATCACCAAGTTCATTCAGTTTCAAACCAGCATTATATAAGCTTGTTAGGTTTTATAGTAGTTACTGAACTATGGAAACTGCAAATCCAATCAATCAAAATGATTGTGGTGGAGCATACTGAATGTATTAGACTACAGTGAACAACTAAGTAACACTTTCTGACCGATTCGGTTGAGCTAATATAGCACAGGTCCTATAACGTTGGTATTTCAGTTTTCAAACATTTACCATGCTTCTGGATAAACGTTTGACTTGATTCGAAGTGTAAACTTCTTGATTCATCGGTACCATTTATTAAGCTCGCTAAAAACCTCAAATTCGAACAAAACTATTGTTGAACACATAAGTTCAAAATTTTATTACCTTATTTTTAGTAGGATCTCCTAAGCCATAAAAATCCTTTCTATTCCAATATGTCCATGATTCAAAATGTTTATCAGCTTCGTCCAATATTGCATTACATTCCACTGTGTTTACACTACGTGGATTTCCATCATCTCCACACAAACCGAATTCAGTTAGAAATCTACCACCTCCAGTTGTTTTTGTTGCTTTAATTGCATTGGATATCACAGTTGGTAACAGGAACTAAATGTGATTTGAAAAGCAAATAGCAATGTACATAATCAATGTTTTCAACCATACATAATGAATATTGTTTCATCCGAAAATAAATTAGATGGTTTCTTCGTTATTTAATCAAATGGTGATAAGATAGTGAGTGATTTAGAGGCATAACTTTTTTGTCAGTATGGGTTTGTGGCGATTATTAGGTTATTGATCACGATCATGAACCTATTGATGTGAGACCACCATTGAAAACCTGGAACCACTAGGCGGCCGCTTCATCCTATTGTGGGACTCTTCAGCAGTACGCATCCATGATCCTGTTTGTGGGATTAGAACTCAGGGTCCTCAGTCTCGCGCACGAACGTTTAACCATGTGCGCACTACTTACTAGCTCCGTGAGAGAATTGTCGAAGTTCTTGTGAGGAGCCGTGCCAGTGGTGCTAATCCGTGTCGGGTAGAGATAAGTATCTACCTCAACACAATGGAAGATGGTCGTGCAATGTCGTGAATTGGTTGAGGTTAGACACTAACACCGTTGGGTACCAGCAAAATCAGTGGTCTAGAGGTTAAGCCTTCGCGCGCGAGAATGAGGGTCATGGACTCGAGTCCCACAAGCAGGATCATGGATGCGTACTGCTAAGGAGCATCACAGTAGGACGAAACGGCTGTCCAGTGCTTCCAGGTTTTCAATGGTGGTCTAAAATCAAACGGTTCATGATCTTAATCAAAAGCATAATTTTTTATTGGTAGTATGGGATCAGTGAATAAGATGCCGTCTCACTAGGATGAATGAGTCAAAGTAAGAAAATAACGGTGATGATGTGAAAGTTAACTAAAACTGAAATGAAAATAGCATTTCACACAACCATTAAGGATGAGAAGTGGATCGTATTGAATTCTGACCTTGGATGTTTTATTGAATAAGGTTGAAAACTAATTTCTGTTTTGCAAGAGACCTATTCTCGTATATAGATGTTCGTTTCGCAATGCAAACCTGCACCTTGAATTTGATAGTTCCATTGTAAAAGTCTGTATTTTTTCGACGATGGTATTTTTGAATAATTTGTTATTAACAACAATAGTGAAATGACTATTTCGTGTTTTCGATTCTAAATACTTGATCATCCAAGCTCAAGTTATGGTGTTAGCCATAAGACATTTTATACTGGAGATCAGTCTCTGTTCACATGTGTACTTCTTTAAATGATGACCCACTGTAGACTGGATATACTGGTATCGTGTAAACCATCTCCAATATATACATTATTCGACGAGATGAAGGTACATATATCTGATTATTTCACAATCACAGAGGAAACCACATTTCAAATAAGGAGAACACTTTGTTACTTTTGATATCACAATCTGTTTTTAAGTGACTTCACTGAGTTCTTACATCCCAAATGTAACAGATATGTCAACACGAGTTTATCTCTTAGTATACTGACATAACTCTCTTGGAATAGGTAGTCAACACTTGAATACGTAAAACATGTAAGTGGTATAATGAATGAAAGCACTAATCAACCCACATCGTAAGTGTTTAATGAATTTAACAAATAAGTTAATTTAGTCTTATTTTGAAGGTATTCTGTCAGTCTATTTATCAGCGATACCAGGGGATTTAAACAAGTAGTTTTGAATTATCAATATATCTTAATGCGGAAATGAAGAGTTCAAGGAACACTGAAATAAGAATTTCATTTCTGCAGAAGAATTTACGACTACAGAATGATATGTATCGATAACATCTCACCAGATTAGAAAATGAGGCTAATCTTGAATGACATGGTACTTATTAACTATTTGATTCAGCTTATATTTAATTATTCTGATCAATGAAAGTGACCTGAACAATACGATATACTATATCAATGATAATATGAACAACAGTTTAACAAATAATGCAGGAAAACTAAGAGTTTAAAAGAATTTGAAATTTACCGAGTCACATAAGACTCTCTTCCAGAATGGCATTGTGGAGTTTAGATAATCAGTCTGTAATACCCAACAATAATAATGATATGATAAAACACTTTTATTCGGTGCTGATTTATCATGATTAGCTCCAGGAACACGTTGAAATCCAGTTCCTAACCATCCTGAGGGGCCTAGAGGAGTAAATAACCCATATGTAACTGGTTCATAGAATATTAATGTTGAATTGTCATATTTACGTATTCTCTCAACAAGATAGTCGTAAACTGGTAGTAGATTATATCGACCAGCATAACCTGAAACCAGAAAATCCATAATACGAACATGTAAGAATAATGTTTCTCCAAATTTAATAGTAGCGTACGCAATCGATGATCCAAATGCGTTTCTCTCATGAATGTACTAAATCTCATAATCTTAGTTGTGTCTCATTAAATATCAATAGCAACTCAAATATGTTTCTGTTTAAAAATGAAATTCGGTTGATCATAGTACAAAAGTCACAAAGTTGTGGTGATAGCCTATTAAGAAGAGCCCAACTGAAAATTCGATTACTTACAAATGTTGTGGAAATGCAGTGGAGAGTAAAAGTTATGGGTATGAAGGGAATCTCTACGGTTACATGAGGGGTCAAGGGTTATATAGAATAATCTATATCGTCGATATTCAAACATTTCAATCAACAAACTTTCCAAAATTCAAGATATCTTCAAAGTGACTTCATTAATTTTACTTTCACTTCACGTTTCGTGAGATAAACAGGTTTCACACCCTAAAATACCTCTATTGCCTTGAAAACTAAACTCTTTCCATGACAATAAAATCACTTCAAATACAAAGAAAAGAGCTACTGGAGAATCGATGGCATGAAGTAATGTTGGAATATGATGTTCATTGTTTACTCAGTTGATATGACAATGTTATGCTGTTGAATGTCTGGAAGATGTAAAATCATTTATTCATTATAATTACACTGGTTTCATCATGGTGACTAATAATTATAAAGATGAGCGTTATACAATGACAGGTTCTCAGATGATCATATAATTGGGAATTACTGAATTGAACATGGATCAATTTGCATCTTTGAACTCGACTAAGTGTGCTAATGCAGTTTAAAATTCTGAAGTAGTAACTAATCGATTAAATGAATAGGGATCTAATCATCATTTTCATCGAACTGCGGACATTTAACGTGATATCATTAATCATTTGAAAGATTTAATGGGGAGACGGTAAGTGTTTTACTACTATATTTAGTTGATAATAATTTACTAAATATCAATCGACATCATCAGAGGTGATGGTCAAAATGCAGTCCATTTTGTTGCACTTAACAGAAAGTTACTATGACATTGATATTAGAAGTCAACAAACACACACCTTATGATCTCAACTATGGAAATTACTACAATCTCCACAAAACCTCTTCTGATACTAAACAACATATACTCATTAGTGACTGGCTTCAAGCGGTAGTTCTAGTGTGAAGCAGTGACCAGTTGAGTTCAACTGCGTCTGTTATGAGATAGTAACTTACTGATGACAATGGTGGATATGTTGCTCGATTTGGTGGATATTAACATCACTGGATGTCATTTCAGTAGTCTAGTCGTTAAGCACTGGGTTCGAATCCCGCGAGGCGGGATCGTGGATGCGCAATGCTGAGGAGTCCACGTTTTCCATGGTGGTCAAGCTTCAATTAACTCATGATCTCAAATTCCGAAATTACTACAATCTTCACAATACCCCTTCTCACACAAATCTATTTACTTGAAATCTCAAAGTATTGTTAAAGTTTCACACAAGATAAATTTAGTAAATATAACTTTACCTGAAAACGCTCGTAATGGATTAGAATAAAAGTTTCCAGGTGGAGGTTCATTAATCAAATCATAACCAAGTACATTTGACTTCTTTCCAAATTGTTTAGCTACGGTTTCCCAAAAATCACCCCAGTGATTCAAAGCACCAGACACATTCTGATATAACTGTTGAGCTCCATTCGTACACTCGTAAGTTAAATAATACGCCCCATTCCATTTTGGCAACTTTTTATACGGCCAAGGCTGTTGCAAAACGTAAGGTGGTCTTTTAAACCGATCAATTAACCAAAGTGGTATACCATCGTAAGCACCATATCGACTCGATAATCCATCATGATGCATATCTAATATCACATAAATTCCATGATCAGCATATAAATCAATCAACTTTTCAATTTGATTTAAATATGTGGTGTTAACTATTGACATATTTGGCATTACTCCACTCCACATAACACCTAATCGAACAACATTCAAACCCCAATTTTGAAAAATCTGTATCTGTGTGATATTCAAAGATTTTACTGTATACCTTGGGAAAGATTTTCGGACATTGTTAAATCCTCTAAATAATCTAATGAATCCACGAGGATCTGTGAACATTCCGTGTTGATTCAGATGAATTTTACTGACAGGAATATGTTCTGTCCAAACTGATGACCAGAAGAGTATGAAAAAGATTATGAACCACATAGAAAAACCAATTTCTGTAGTCTGAATTTTGAAATATACAACTGTGGTAAACACCAGTTATATATATATATATATATATATATATATATATATATATATATGATAACCAACACACACACTCTGATCATACCATTTGTGATTGTGAATGATTAAAGAGGATCACACCAAATTGATAACCTTGTATAACAATATGGTTCTGTAATTTGATACGATATATGCTAGACATAACAAATGTTGAATGTCACTTCACGACCAACCAAAGAATATGCCGTAAGCTATTTGTGTACTTACTTTTTTTAATTCATCAATAAATATTTACAATCAGTAATATACTGGTGTTCAGTGACGGATTCGATCCCTTGATATCGAGTCACCACGACTAGTGACCATATTGCAACTTGGTCAATAGCATTCGATCTATAATAAAAAGGACTTGACACACATGAAATTGATCATCACCCAGTGACCTATCAATTGTGATTACATCTCCGTCCTACAGGAGGTCGGTGACGGTCCGGATAGACTAGTGGTAACGTCTCTGATTGTGAAGTTGGATGACACGGGATCGGATGCGTCAGGGGGTACCAGTTCCCTCACAATTACAGGTCCACTTCCATGTAGCACAAAATCCTGGTCCAGGATTTCCTGTTGACTACCTCCAACAACCATCTTATCTCATAGTGCACGTGATGTCAAGTCACCTAGACTATTATTATTATAAGCTTTATTCAACATTATATTTGTGGTACACTATTGAATTCTCAGCATAAAGTATTTCAACAAGGTTCCTTTTCTTATATCTTGATCGATCCTGACGATAAATATTGAGTGATGGTCAGTTAGATGCTAGGAGTTCGATACTCGACATCTGAATAATGTTCATTTGTTTCAATGCATATTGCAAACCACCATGATGTCGCTGGTTGTACCTTTTTGTAATCCGTACAGCGAAAGGTTGTAAACTTTTCGTAAACGCGCCTGAATAGGTTGTGAGTTCAATAGGCATAATAGTGTGTTAAAACAAACTAGTGGCCACATTGCAACTTGGTCGATAGCATTCGATCTACACTAAAAAGGACTTGACACGTATGACATTGATCACCAGACAGTGATCAATAAATTATGAAACCAAAAGCATCTTTCGTCCTATTTGATATTATTAGATTTATATATATTGCTTAATATGCCTCCCACCCCCTCTTAAAATCATTCAAAAGGTTAATGATATAACCTTAGACGTCTGTAGTTCAATGCATATTACCCATGTAGTTCATTTTTGATAACCTCGAAAATAAAATTGTTACTCAGTCAGTGAAAAATATAAACTAATAATAAAGAATGCAAATATCGTTTATTTATGAAGTGTGATTTTAAAACTTCAATCTGAATATGAAAATTTGTGAAACTTTGCTTTGCATGAATAGATCTATATTCAATCAGTCGGTTAGTTACTATTTCAGAATTTCCAACTACATAAACACACTTAATCGAGTTCATCGTGTTCAACAATACAAATTGATCCATGCTCAATTCAGTCATTTCCAATTATATGGTCATCTGAGTACCTGTCATTGTATAACGGTCATCTCTTTAATTGTTAGTCATCAAAACGATAAGAAACTATTCATAAAGAATAAATGATTTTACATCTTTCAGATATAACAAACAGCATGATATTGTCACATCAACTGAACGCACAAAGAACAGTAAATTCCAATGTTCCGAACATTACTTAATCACATCGATTCTTCAATAACTCTTTCTTTCACATTTGAGATGATGATAGTATCATGGAAGGGGTTTAGTTTTGAAACTAGTAAAGATATGTTAGAGTGTAAAACGTGTTTATTTCTTGAAACTTGATATACAATTCGAAGTAGGGATGTCACCTTGAAGACAGCTTGAATTTTCGGATACTTTATCGATTGGACTTACGTTTTGATCTGTTCTATTTGATTCTCTACACTTAGTGTAACCGTAGCGATTCCCTTTATACTAATAACTTTTGTTTTCCATCACATTCGTTAATAATCAATGTTTTATGTGACGAATGAACGACTCATTTCAATCATCAACATTACCAATCTATCCACCTATCTATTATTCAATAAGTATATGGTCAGTTTATCAAAGTTCAAATAAATTCGCTCAGTGTTTGTTCTCATCAATGTTACGCAATGAAACATTTCCATATCCGACTGAACTAGTTTTAACTGATCTCGACCTTTAATAAAGATCACAAGAACATCATTCTTTCAAAAAGTTTCTCGGGAATACAATTTTCAGTTTGTTATTTTTACATTTGTCAGAATTTCGTTCCAACGAATGTAAATAATTGAATTTTATAAGAAGGAAATCAATAAGAATCTTTGATCGTGCTATACGTTCTAAACTCGTAATCGGGAAAATCTACGAAAATCTAAAATGTGTGTGACAATTCCTTTACCTTTTCTTTACTTAAGGTAATGACAAGTCAATGAATAAACAGGAACAAACGTACGAGTGAGTGACCAGTAAATTTGAGGATGTCCGAACGAGACTGAAAATCAGTGAACTAATGAGACCAAGAAAACAATACCCTCTGAGCACAAAATCATGCAATCGATCATCGTGGTGGAATAAATTCAATTGGTCACGGTTTTCAGTTGTTCAGTGGTCTGCGTCCTATGAATTTCTGTTATAGTCAATGTGATATAAAACATTTGCATCATCATTGAATCCACGTGTGTACTAGATGTTTTAGTAACCCACGTAATACTATGTATTGTATTAAACCTACCGATTTGAACAAGGGATATTGTAGGTGTAATATCCATTTCGAAGGTGTTTTGTGTATGGAAATCTCTCTATGTTTAAACGTGTAATTTATTCCCATTGATTCCTTCAGTTGTACATTCGGTTAGTCGTTTTAATTCCATCCAATCACCTTTCCGAAGAATATTCTAAAAATCCTACGTGTATCTTCCCGACTGCACAAGGCTAATAAACTCCTGTATGCGGACTGAAGGACTCTAATGATGATTTCGATCTTACTAAAAACTATAAATACCTGACACTTTTGTACTATAATTGACATTGTTTGGAATAATATCCCTTTCATTAGCCTTCTGTCTTCTCCTTGTGACTTGGAAGGGTTTTGATGTTCTATTGCCCAGTTATACACGGTAAATCAAGTAAATAACCTTCTAGATATAACAACTGGCGACAGGGTTATCATATCAAGATGTCATTTACCTTTGAACAACATGAAGCCTAACTGGAACGTCAAGAAAAACGTTTCGAACAGTTCCAGATGCTCATGATAGAGACGCGGGTTAACCCAGAAAATGAACATGAATCAAAAAGAAGTTACAGATGATCCCTCAAAATCTCATGTTGACCACACCATTAATTCTATCCATAAATTTAATTTCGATGTTTCAGCTGGTATTACTTTTTAAACCTGGTCCAAGGAATACGAAAATTTGTTCAAGGTCGACCTCAAAAATTTTGATGACGCCGCTAAGGTCAGAATACTCTTACGAAAACTTGGAACTGTTGCACATGTACGTTACAGTAACTTTATCCTTTCAAAGAATCCATCAGATTTTTCTTTTGATGCGACGATTGAAATTTTGTCGAAAATATTTGCTGAACAGCCATTCTTGTTTGATATTCGTTATCAATGTCTCAAGATAACAAAAGCATGTGATGATGACTGGGTGAAGCATGCGAGGTTAGCAACCCGTGAATGTGAGCGCTTCAAGCTATCAGCACTGACAGAAGATCAGTTTAAGTGTCGAGTGTTCGTATGCAGCCTACAATTTCTCGAAAATGCTGATATTAGAACCAGGATTTTGAGTAAAATTGAAGAATGTCCGAACATGACACTGCGGGAAGTAAGCACAGAGTGCTAGAGATTGGTAAACTTAAAACATGACACTTCGATAGTCGAAAATAATGGCCAGTTGCTATACGTTCATGCTGGAGTAAAGACCGCTTCTTCAATCTTCCAACAAGTTATGGATACTATGTTACATAGAGCATAGAGCAAGTCCGTTATTTGGGATTCATAATCAATAAAAACTGAAGAAAACCTGATCCTGAGAACGTCGAAGCTATCAAGTACATGCCTCCACCGATGGATGTATCAACTTTACATTCTTTCTTGAGAACGGTTAGTCATTATGGCGTTTTTCTCCCAGATCTGCATCGCCTTCGTGTTTTTCTTAATCGCTTACTGAAAAAGGATACCAATTGGTTCTGGTCAACCGAATGCCAGGAAGTACTCCTAAAACTAAAGCACCTACTATCATCAAACCTTCTATTTACACACTATGACTCAGATCTTCCAGTTATAGTCGCGGCAGATGCGTCAAATTATGGAATCGGAGCAGTAATTCCACAAACCTATGCTGACGGGTCTGCGAAGGCAATCGCTCACGCTGCAAGATCGCTGACTATGACTGAAAGAACATACAGTCAGATTGGGAAAGAAGCCCTCTATATTAAATTTGCTGTAAAAAAGTTACCCAAGATGCTGTTTGGCAGATAGCCCACCTTACTTACAGACTATAAACCTCTGCCGACAGTTTTTGGATCTAGAAGAGCTATCTCTGTATATACAGCAAACCGTCTATGCGATGGGCAACTACACAGCTGAGCTATGATTTCAAGATAAGATATCAACGGAAAACTGATTTTGAACAGGTAGATGTGTAGTGGCATTGAGCCCCAACACGAGACAAAATGGAAAATAGACATTCAACATTTAACGCTGGGAAATACCCAACAATGGAGAAGGCGGGAATAAGGAATAAATTGAATTAGTCCGAGTTGATCGGATGGCATGGATCGGCCTTGCAGGCGTGGTCCTAGCTGAATGTTATATTGTATCTTTTATTCATATTAAATATATTCTATCTCTAGCATAAGCTTGTTCTCTATCACGTATTGGCAATTGTTACAATTCAATGAGTTGGTGTAGACGATGAAGTAACTTCCACGTAAGATCTTATAGATTAGGCAGTTGCATCATGACAAATCTACAATTTTAGGACTAGGTCTACTATTAGAGCAGTGCTAATATCGTAGTAGACCATAATTCTACATTGGTCAGCCCAACTAAAGAAAAGCAACCTATTATTGTTAATCTGTATTTCTACTACAACTTTCTCAATCGATTTTTGCTTATTTAAACCTATTTTCCTTATAGTCCTCTGACTAGTGCTCATATGTATTATCGTAACGTTATATTGATTAGTACTCATAACCTACTAGCTCAATCGATAATATGAACAGGTCATCTATATAAATTATTATCTTTGGTGGTTCGTTAGCAAGCTTTCATAGCATTTACATGTTACAGCGAAATAAACTTGTTTAAACATCAAGCTCTAGTAAATATTACCTGTAAATAACGTAAATATACATTGACTAGCAACGTAAGCAAGGACTAAACTGTTATCTGGATCTAATTCTTCATATTGCTTCTTCACGTAACTCCTAATTCTGTCTTAAACTATGCACTATCCTGTCATATTTTTCTTTATTCTGTCCACTGCCTGCCTAATTTCCAATTGCTAAGTTCCATGGCCAAACAAGATGCAAATGCTAGAAATTTACGGTGAGTTTGAACTATAAATTTCCAGCAATCTTAGATGTCGTTTAGACTGTTCGTCAGGCAATGCTGCATAAATGGCTTAAATTAATTTTGAACTTACACAAATCCTGTTTTCCATGCTGGGTTAATCCAAGAATTTAGTCGACAGTACCTCGTGTATAATCCAGATTCGAATTACTGTCCAATTCAAATCATCATTACTTGGAAGTGAAAACAACCCAGGCGAGTTTTACTTTTTCCCTTTCCTGGTTCATTTATTATGATTGAAGTACTTCTTAAGTTACATAGGTTTTTTTCCGTTAAATTGGTTGTATATATTTCATACAAGCCATTCCCAGGACTTAGTAGAA